AACAATTTTTATTTAAGCAGTCAGCCAGCCAGCTAGTGAGCCAGTCCTCCCACCTGCGTTCTCAGGAACTCCTCAAAAGCCTGGAAAGGTTGGGGGTGGGCCAGGCCAGCAGGAACCTGGGAACACAAAGCTGGGCCTTGTGCAGGAGCAGCAGGGACCTGATCGGCTGCGCCACCAGTGCTGCATCCTGGAGTCCGTACCAACAGGAAGTGCAGTCAGAAAGGGGGAGAGCAGGCACTCTGCCATAGTAAACGCCCACATGTGTCGGTGTTACATGTGAGGGAGACCATGAGACTGCTCTTAGCAGGCCAGATGCACAACAAAGGAGAGCTGATGAGCAGTCAACACTTACCCTTCTGCTTTTGTACAAAAATGCTTTTTTCTTTCTGACACTTTAATCCTTCTAAGCCTAAGTTCTACCTAGTGTAGACACTAAACCATCTCACTTACTAACTAAACTCTAGTGCAAAAGAGACTAACAGGGGTATGGATCCTTAAACTACTACGACATGCTTTGCTTTTCTTGCCTTATAGCAAGGGAAAGGACAAAAATGTGGCTTAAAAAGAGTTCAGTAATAATAATACCCTTTTCGCAATGCTACCTGCCTGAGATACCCAGTTCTCTTGACTTACCATTCTGACTCAGTCATGACTAAGAGATCAACCGCTGGGCCACGCTGGAGACTGAGCTATGCTACTGTTGGAACTCAAAGGCACTAGATTCTGTCATCTGGACAAAACTCCTTACTTCGGCCTTTTTGGTCATTGGTTTTTATTTTGTAAAATAAAACCAGGATACCCGCTCCATCTTGTTCACCTAGAGTTCATCTTACTCTGGAGATTCATGTGCCTGCCCTCCCTGAAGGACTCCCCACCGGCCAACTGCTCCATAACAGCCTCTGTTTTCCACATAAGACCAGTCTAGTAGTTGGACTATGGGGATTGCTGCCTAAAAGCCTTTAGCAAACACTACTAGCTTAGCTTGCAGCATTTATGACAGTAGTCTCCTCTCAGGGGCTCAGTTCCTGTCCTCATCTGTCCATGTTGCATCACTAGAAATATTAAAGTTCCCACAATTCTTTCTTATCTCAGCTCACAGGCTCCACTTGGGAACCGTACAAAACAATATGAGAAAGCCTGAGGTTTAGTCTGACCTGCAAGGGGTCACAAAGCCAACTGGGCAGGCAGTGGTTGTCAACTGGGAGGTGCAATGTAAACTTACAGTTGCCCTTGCTCAAATCCTTGTTCAAACACGTGGCAACTTGAAAGCAAGAACTGACTTGGGAAGTGGTGAGCTCCTCCAGGGAGATGTTTCCATGTCTACCCTGGTGTCAAGTACACACAACGACTACTTTCTGACTCACCTCTAGGGAATGAAAAGCAGATTCAATTAAGAAAAAAAAAAATTGTTTTTTAAGGTTTTTTTGGAAAAGCAGATTTACAGAGAGGAGAGACAGAAAGATCTTCCATCTGCTGGTTCGCTCCCTAATGACCACAATGGCTGCAGCTGAGCTGACCCAAGGCCATGAGCTTCTTCTGGGTCTCCCACGCAAGTGCAGGGTCCCAAGGCTCTAGGCCGTCTTTCCCAGGCTGTAGGCAGGAAGCTGGATGGGAAGTAGAGCAGTCTGGATACAAACCAACACCCATATGGGATCCCGGCACATGCGAGGCGTGGCCTTAGCCACTGAGCTATCACACTGAGCCCTAGAACTGATCTTAAAAGCTTAAACCCTTGGGGCTCAGCGTTGTGATGCCATGGCAGGCTAAGCCACCACTTTTGCTTGCATCTCTCGAGTGCTGGTTCTAGTCCTGGTTGCTCCACTTCCGATCCAGTTCCCTGCTAATCTGCCTGGGAAAGCAATAAAAGACAACCTGTTTATGTGGGTCCTCACCACCTACATGAGACCCCCACGTGGAGTTCCATGCTTCTGACTCTGGCCTGGCCCAGATCCGGTTGTTAGAACTGCTTGGGGGTGAACCAGCAGATGGGAGATGGTTGTTTCTCCCTCTCTTTTTGTATAATTCTGGCTTTCAAATAAATGAACACATTTTGAAATACAAAACAAAAAAACACAAACTCTCAGAAATGGGTAACAATTATTCTCAATCAGAAATTCCTGTACTATCTACCTATCAGGTGTGAATTTATCAGACTGGCTGGATTAAGGACTGTTTTATGTGACTCAAAGACTTGTGCAATCTGAATCCATCTATGGTAACTGATTATGTAGTCTGAGTGTAGAATTCTAGAGGAACAAGAGGATTTTTCAAAAGCACATGCGAATTGTGATAAAAGGAAATACCAGGTTACAATACAAGTTCTAAGTCTTCATTGGGAAAAAAGCAAATGTTATTGTATTCACAACAATGACAAAAAGACATTTAGAATCCCTCATTTTATATGAGTGTAAAAGCAGCAAGAATTTTTAAGATGTCTTTGAAACACTGCACAATGGATCAGAATGATACAGCACTGGTCAACGACAACACGGCAATTTCACTGCTTCTCTATAATCCTTCAAATAGAAATTCACTGTAACTTTATTAAGTACATTAAAGACAGCTGTCTTCATCTGAAATGAAAACAGAGCAAAAGGAGGGGAAGGAGGCAGGGTTGGAAATGGTCTGTGCCCTCATCTGGATAATGGGTTACAGGGCAAGAATCTATATACATTTTAAGCTGTAACTTGATTAAATCTTAAAAAAAAAAAAACCCACAGAAAAAGAAGAGCAAAAATTCCTAGTATTTTCTATCATTCATTAATCAAATATTTGTTGAGTATCTTCATTTCAGGAATAGAATAAGTTATTCATAATAGAACCTGTCATAAAGACATACTCTTCAGTGTCACAGAGTAAACAACCTAACAATGCCAAGGTAGAGGGAACGAAGACGTTACTACACGCTGTGTTGACGGGCACTGTGACAGAGCACAGGCATTTGGGAACACCATGTGGATGAACTTGCTCAGCTCAGGAGAGAGAATGGAATTCTTGCACTGCTTGCTACTTTGCTCACAAAATATCCTGCAAGCTAGAATATACCTACATTCTATTAATTTTTTTCATGTAAAAAGATTAATCATTTCCTTTATCTTTGCACAAAATTAAGTTTAACTTTTTTGTCTTCTTCATGAAATACATAAATGAATAGCCATTCTTAACTAAGGCTTTTCTTCTTCTTCTTTTTTTTTTTTTTAAGATTTACTTTTATTGGGAAAGCAGATTTACAGATAGAGGAAGAGAAAGAAAGACCTTCTGTCCACTGGTTCCCTCCCCAACAGTGGGAGCTAAGCCAACTTGGAGCCAGGAGCCAGGAGCTTCTCCGGGTCTCCCACAGGATACAGGGTCCCAAGGCTTTGGGTCGTCTTCCACAGTAGGAAGTTGGATGGGAAATGGAGCAGCCAGGATATGAACTGGCACTTATATGGGATCCCGGCACACGCAATGCAAGGATTTAGCCACTAGGCTACTGCACTGGGCTCAGCTAAGGCTTTCTTTAAAGAAAGTTCTGCATGTGGCAGCACTTTAGAACAGGGAATTTCACCTAATATTTTAACTAACCGCCACAACCACAACTTCTTTAAATATGTACTAGTTAGTAAAAAATATTCTTTTCTTGTTTGAAAGAATTCACTTAAATATGAGGGTAGGCTAATTTTTTAAAAAAGAAACTAAGCAAACTCTAGGAAAAGTTCATCTCTGTCACAACTCAGATTTGTAGCAGCAGAGAGAGAATTCTAGATGATCAAGCTAAGCCTGGAGAGGCCTGCATGGATTTTGATCAGATAGCAAAACAGGAGTACACGTCTAACTCCCGTTTTACACCTACACACTCTGGTTTATCTACAACTTCACAACTTCTTTTCGGATAGCAGCAACAAATAATCCAAAGCACGAGCATGGCTCCAGCTCCCACAACATGGCAAGAAAAGCAGCTGGGTAAACCATTTTCATCATGCATATAGGACAGCCAGATATGGACTCCCATCATTTCCCATCGCCAGTCAAAGAAGGAATGTTCTAAAATTCCCAGTTGGTGCTCAAAGCAACAGAAAGAACCGAGATCTCTATAAAGAGGCATCCTTTGGCATCCGCAGGGGAGTCATTCTGGGCCCCCTTCCCAGCGGATATCAAAATCCGTGGATGCCCAAATGCCTTACATCCAACAGTGTAACAGCTGCTATCGTCCTACACGTCTTAAACAACCTCTATGCTACTTATAATATCTGATACATCGTGAATGCTATGTAAATGGCTGTTACACTGTATTATGTAGGGAATAATGACAAAAAGTCTGCACTTGGCTATTAAGATGTGATTTCCCCCAAATACTTTGTTTCCAGAGTTGGCTGATGGACATTAGTTTAAAACTTAGGCACAGGAGACCAGCACAGTAGACTAGTAGTAAAAGTTTGCCTTGCATGTGCCAGGATCCCATATGGGCACCAGTTTGTGTCCCAGCTGTTCCACTTCCCATCCAGTTCTCTGCTTGTGCCCTGTGAAAGCAGCAGAGGATGGCCCAAAGCCTTGGGACCCTGCATCTACATGGGAGACCCAGAAGAAACTGACTCCCGGCTCCCGGCTTGAGATGGGCTCAGCTCTGGCTGTTGCGGCCACTTGAGTAGTGAACCAGTGGATGGAAGATCTTTCTGTCTTTCCTCCTCTCTGTAATTCTAAGTTTCCAATAAAAAAAAATCTTAAAACAAAAACAACATAGGCACAGTAAATTAACAGCAGCAACAATGAACAAAATAGCACAATTGAGGTAATATTCTAAACTGTGTGACTATGGTTGATCTCAAGAGTCAAGACAGGTATCAGTAACTTCAGCTCATGGTTGACTATGGGGATCTGCAACCACAGAAAGCGACATCCCAAGTGAGACAGGACTAACGCAAGCACAAAGCTTACGCCAATGTTCTAAGACTGGGAAAGAAAAACTGCGAATGCGCGTGCATTTTACTGCCTCAGATGAATGTGTGATAGCACCTGCTTACCTGTCGGCCTTCATCAGAAGGTTCGGCGGCAACTCCAGGAGCTGGTTATGCTGCACATCCAAGACCTCCACTGAGGTTCTCTCAAGTCTTTCAGGCAGCCTTGCCAATTGGTTGTGTCCTGCCAGTAGTTTCCGGAGACTGCTGTTACAAAACAAACTGTACCGGAAGGAAAAAAAGGCAGAAAGCAACTTAATTAGAGCCAATTTAGGATCAGGAATTAAAAATGAGTAATAAACAAAATATTTAAAATCATTAGTCCAAAAATTGTAAATCCATTCAAAACCATTCCAAGGCCATTCTACTAAAAGTTCAAACTTGGAGCTGCTTATCCTATAATACCTCCTATACACTGAAAGAAAAGGAGTGTGGGAAAAAGCGAAAAGGAGCATTGCACAAAGAAGCTCTTCCTAGTGAAAATCACCTTTCACAGAAGCAGACACTGGGGTGATCAGGCTCATGCTATTGGACAGAGGTGATCAGCTTTCAAAGGCTCCAGGCCTCTCTACGGTAAAACTCTGTCTTGGAATATTCTAGAATGCTGGGTGTTCTAACCACATCTGACTGAGGAAACTGGGCTGAAGAATACTCAGCTACAGAAACACCTCTGTTCAATTAAACTTTTACAGAAGTCAAGGGAGAAAACATTCCATGTTTCTTCAGTGGTTTCATAATCATACTTGTTTCTCTCTTTCCTGTATATTTTCTGTATTCTCCTTGGTTTAATTCTAGACCCTCCGCAGGAGAGCACAGTGTACTTGTTAATCCATTATTTTCTTGTGAGCCTCAAAGAGCTGTTTGGAAACTTGGCTATGTTTCTTCTAAGGGTTATCAAAACTTTACAACAAAGCATTCTGGTTAACTCAAACTAAATCTGTCTCATGATCACTCCAGACTCTTCCAAACGTTGTAGGGAATGAGTCTGGGTTTCAACAGAGACAAACAGAAAATTCCGAAAAATAAGATTATAACTTAATCATGACCACATCAGAACATGAATTTACCCTGCAGGAGCAGAAAGACGCTTCCTCATGCAGCTCCTGCTTCCCACCACTTCATTTTGAACTCAACTGCAGATATCCATACTTTGAAAAATAAATTTCAATTGAAAAAATTGTATATATATTTATGGTGCACACATGATGTTTTAATGTATGCATATATTGTAGAATAATGTGGTGAAACCCAGCTAATTAATGTATATATTACCTATCTTTTTGTGTTGAATAATTTTCGAGAATTCACTGTCACTAAATAGTTTCCAATGTTGTAAAATAGATCTTAAATTTATTCCCCTTGTCAAATTAAAATTTTTGAATCTTATTCACAAGTATTAATAATTTGGGAATAATTTTGCTTACTATTCTTTTTTTTTTGAAGATTTACTAAGTTAAGAGATAAAAAAGTAAAAAAGAAAAAGAGAGGATGAGAGAAAGGAAGAAAAAATCTTTAATCTGCTGGTTCACTCCCCAAATGACCCAGCCAGGTTTGGACCAGGCTGAAGCCAGAAGCCAGGAGCTCCATCCTGGTCTCCAACATGGGAGACAAACTGAGAAACGTGGCTCATTTATCTTTCAGTGCTCTCCCAGGCATATTAGCTGGGTAAGAAGCAGTGCAGACAAGACTTGAACCAAGACTGATATGGGATGTCAGCACCAATTGTTTCAGATATCAAATTTTAAACTGCTTTCCTTTTTAAGATATTCCCACTTCTAAGTAATAATGCATTTGTTAATCCAATCATACAATTTACTCAAAGTCTTAATAATAAGTCAATTCTCAAGAATCACTGTGTTGCCAGAATATCACATCAACATCAGGGCTTACATAAAGTTCACAACTAAACCATACAAATAAGAAAGTAATTATTTCTGCTTCATTTTAAAAACACACACAGAAAGACAGATACACAAACACACCAGTGTTTAAATTCTTTGACAACAAAGCACCTGGAACTTGGCTTTGAATATCATTTCCTGAGACCCCCAAAAGCCTCTATTACTCTAAATCAAATCTAAGATTAATGAACTTTGAAGAAAATTGGATAAAACATCAGTTATCTTGTATTTATTTGCTTGTGTGTTTATATTTACAATATCTTTGCTGTAGGCTACAGAAATCCAGATGTCTGAGATAGCAGTGGACTGGCTGTGGGGGCCAAGGAGGGGCATGGGGAAGAGAAGAGAGCAGGCAGAAGGAAATGCATTCAATTTTTTTTCCAGGGGCTGGTATTGTAGCACAGCAGGCAAAGCTGGCACACTAATGCCAGCATCCACTACTGGACAGCTGGTTCATGCCCAGCTGCACCACTTTCCATCCAGCTCCCACTAGCGGCTGGGAAAGCAGCAGAAGATGGCCCAAGTACTATAACCCCTGCCATGTGGGCGGGAGATTAGGATGGAATTCCTGGCTCCTGGCTGCTCTAGAGTTGGCTGTTGTGGTCATTTGCAAAGTGGGAGAACAGAGAAAAGATAGCTGTTTCTCTTTTTGTCTCTCCACATCTTTCTGATGCTCTGCCTTTTAAGGAAATAAATCATTTAAAAAATTGTTTTCAACAAATTATTTCCAGCTCCTGTCCCTGTTCTAAAAGGGTCAGGTGCAAGCACACCCCTTGCACAGCCTCTTGATAAAGCTGATGTCAAGTCACCTCATGCTCAGTCAGTGTAACACTCCAGGGCAAAAAGCATTTCCAAACGAATTAGATTTCCAGGTATATCGCTTGGCTAAGTAATAGAGTGAAATTAACTGAGCCTTTTCGGGGACTGAAAAGGTCACTCATTTCTTTCATAAGAGCTAAACATAAGACAGTGTTATCTACCAGAAATATAACGTAAGACACATTTTAAATTATCTAACAGCCAAAGTAAGCAGAAACAAGTGCTTACTGTACATTTTACCTGAGTCCTAAATCCTAGTTTAAGGTGCAATTAGTGAACATTAAGATTTTATATCCAATGCATGTTTGGCATTTTTCAATCAAGACTAAATTATACTTCATTTGCTCAATAGTCACCTGGCTATTAGATAGCTCAGTGCTAATACATTAATGATTCTTACCAAGAGTATATTATTTCATAATTTCCGTTCTTTCAAAGGAAACACAAATATTGCGTACTTTAAAAAAAATTATGTAGCTAAAAGCTTATTCCAATATAGTGATAGAATTCTACAATGTTGCAGCTGTTATTTTTGGCTATACACAGTACAAAAACAACTGAGTACTGTTTAGTGACTGGCTGAGAATGGTTCAAATAAACAGGCCAGAGCTTTGATAGCTACTAGCCACAAGCAGGGAGTGAAGCACCAGGTGGACGCTCTCTCTCTCTTTCTCTGTAACTTGGCCTTTCAAATAAGTAAATAATCCTAAAAACAAACAAACAAAAACAAAAACAAACAAACAAAACAAAACCAAAAACCAGGTGAAGGTTTTTGGCCCAGGGGTTACGGCATGCCTTGGGATGCTTGCATCACCGTCAGAGCACCTGAGTTCCAGTTCTAGACCTACTCTCCATTCCAGCTTCCTGATAATGCAGACCCTAGGCGACACCAGGAACCGGGTCTCTGCCATGACATGGGAGATTGGCACTGCATTCTAGTCTCTTGGCTTCAGCTTGGTTTAGCAATACTATTGCAGGCATTTGGGCAGTGAACCAGTGAAAGGGAGATCTGTGCATCCCGGTCTCCTGCCTTTCAAATAAATAAAATTTAAATAAATGCATGTATATTGGTTAAAAATTAAGTAAATTGGGGCCAGTGGTGTGGCACTGCAAGTTGACTTACTGCCTGGGATACAGGCCTCCCTGTCCAGAATGCCAGTTCCAGTTCCAGTCCCAGCTGCTTTGCTGCATCTCTAGCTCCTGGCTAATGATTCTGGAAAAGCAGTGGGAGACACCCCCAGTACCTGGGTACCAGCCACCCACATGGGAGACCTGGATGAAGCTCCAGGCTCCTGGCTCCAGCCTGGCCTAGGCCCTGGTCACTGCATCTTCTATATGGGAAGTAAATAGGCAGATGGAAGATTATCTCCTCTGTTCTGCCTTCTCCTCTTTCTGAAACTTCACCTTTCAAAAAAATAAACTCTTTTTAAAAAGGATAGAAAATCTAAAAATAAAATAATACATTTTAAAAATCAGTTATTCAAGCATACTAATCACATTTTAAGTGTTTGAAAGCCACATTTCAATACAGAATTTCAATCATCACAGAAACTTATAAAGGATAACAATGAGATTTTTTGTTACTAATTGTAGCTCATTTCATTAATGACATTTTATGTCATAATTATCAATCTAAAACATCTGTCTCTATTTAGATAGCTTCACATCGTTCCATTAAAATGAAAACATTGAAATGAAAAGCAACACAAGTTAGGGACTGGAGGCTGCCACCTGCAAAGCCAGCATCTTATATCCGAGTAACAGTTTGAGTAACAGCTGCTCTGTTTCTGATTTAGTTTCTTAATGATAACCCTGGGAAGATGGCAGAAGTTGGCCCAATGAAGTGGATCTGCCACTATTCGAGACTTGGAAAGAGACCCCCGTCTCCTGGCTTCCATCAGGCCCAAGCCCAGCCCAGCCCAGCCCTTGGTTTGGGTCATTTGTGGAGTAAACCAGCAGATGTCTCTGACACTCAGTCTCTCTAATAAATCATTCCCCCCTCCTTTTTTTTAAAGATTTGTTTTTATTGGAAAGGCAGAAATGCAAAGAGAAGAGACTGAGAGAAAGATCGCCAAGGGCCACAATGGCTGCAGCTGAGCCAATCCGAAGCCAGGAGCTAGGAGCTCTTCCAGGTTTCCCACACAGATTCAAGGTCCTAAACCTTTGGGCCATCCTTGACTGCTTTCCCAGGCCACAAGCAGGGAGCTGGATGGGAAATGGAGCAGCTAGAACAGGAACTGGTACCCATGTAGAATTCCGGAACATGCAAGGCAAAGATTTTAGCCCCTGAGCCATTGTGCTGAGCTCTCAAAAAATATTAAAAATAAGTAAATTACTAAAAATTCACATGACAAGTTAAAAGGAGAAAGGAGAAGTTCTTGGATCTCCGACTCCAAATGTCACACCAAGAGAAAGAGAATTCCATCTGTTCCTCCAATGTTTAATAATTCAGCACTCTGCTCCCCGACAATGTCATATCCTAGGGAAAAAGCATGGTTCATGCATTTTGAGAGTCTCTCACTTTCCTTTCATACTCACCGGGCAGGAAGCTCACAAATTTGATTATGGCCAATATCCAAAACTTCCAGCTTTCGGCTTTCACATACCCACTCAGGCACATTTTCTAAGTGGTTCCTAAATACAAGAACACAAAAATCATTGGAGTATTAACTGTGGTTTCAATATGGTTTTAAATTCAAGATACTACAAAGAATAAACAAAACTTAAACATTAAAGAACAGTGAGCATACATCCAAATGCCATATACACTTTTACCACATTTCAGAAGCAAGATGGACTGTGATAAAAGATAGGAAAAGAACATAGCTCCATATCATTATTTACAAAGTCTTTTTTTAAAAATTTATTTATTGTTGCTGGAAAGGCAGTTATACAGAGAGAAGGAGAGACAGAGACGAAGATCTTCCGTCCGATGGTTCGTTCCACAAGTGACCACAACGGCTGGGGCTGAGCCAATCCGAAGCCAGGAGCCAGGAGCTTCTTCCAGGTCTCCCACGTGGGTGCAGGGTCCCAAGGCTTTGGGCCGTCCTCGGCTGCTTTCCCAGGCCACAAGCAGGGAGCTAGATGGGAAGCAGGGCTGCTGGGATTAGAACTGGCACGCATATGGGATCCCAGCACTTGCTCAAGGCAGGGACTTCAGGCACTACGTTATCACGCCGGGACCTACAAAGTCTTTTTAAGCCTAGTTTCTATAAGCACTTTTGCAAAAAGCCTACAGACCCATGCAAGTTTGAAGAGCTTTGTATTGTAAACCCAAGACACACATATTACTAGTTTAATCAATGAATCAAATAGCACAATGTAGTTTTATGCTCAAATTTACATTTTTACCCTTAACATTATAATATTTCCTAACTCTACCTGGAATTACAAAAACCTAATGTGGAAAAATGAAAAGATAAGCAGTTTTAATTTGTCACAAGTAAATATGTACAGATGGTTAATAAGATTCAGGATTAATTATTCAAAAAACATTTACTTAGGCATTAGAAGCTAGTAATTAGAAACAGTTGAACTAAGCTCTCAGAAACTTTTACTGAATTGTCCATTACTTAAACAAATCCACATTTCAATGTCTTCCTAACCCTCCCTTTTATCTTCTCTTTTGATTTGTGAACTGGCCAGGCACAAAGAATCACATTGCCATGTATTTCTTCACATATATATTAAAAACTCTGAAAATATACTGCTTAGAACAAGTCCTGAGTGACATCAGAGTAAAAGGGTATAAAATAGTGGTGATGTTAATGTGATCATCTTGCACAAACTTTAAAAATCATTTTTCTGGGGCCCGGTGCAGTAGCCTCGTGGCTTAAGTCCTTGCCTTGCCCTTGCTGGGATCCCATATGGGCACCAGTTTGTGTCCTCGTGGCGCTGCTTCCCATCCAGCTCGCTGCTTGTAGCCTGGAAAAGCAGTCCAGGATGGCTCTAAACCTTGGGACCCTGCATCTGGATGAGGGACCCGGAAGAAGCTCCTGGCTCCGGATCGGCTCAATTCCAACCATTGTGGCCAGTTGGGGAGTGAATTATTGGATAGATCTTCCTCGCTGTCTTTCTTCCTCTCTGTATATCCGACTTTGTAATACAAACACATAAATCTTTTTTTAATAAAATCATTTTCTGGGTCAGGTGTTTGTCATAACAGATCATTTGGGCATTCCGAGTGCTTGAGGTCAAGTCCCAGTTCTGCTCCCCATTCAAGCTTCCTGCTAGTGTACAGCATGGGGGGCTGCAGGTGATGGGCTCCTCCCCCATCACATAAAACCTGGCTGGAGTTTCCGGTTCTGTCTCCATCCCAGTCCTGGCCGCTGGCAGTTAGAGCATTGAACCAGCACTAGGAAGATCTACACTCCAGTAGGGTATCCTGCTTCCCCAACTGGTGCCTTAGTCACCAGGCCACATACTTGTTCTTAGTAAAAAGGCAAAAATAACAACACATAACAATGACAGAAAAGGAAACGAAATGGACTTTAAATCAGGTAATGCCTAACTTCAAGTTCATCCAATTAAACTCTGAAATATATAAAGATATGTCAAAACGTTTATAGAAAGATACATTAGCCTTTTTCCCCCATTATCTTTTAATTCCACATTTTCCACAAACCTTTTGAATTACTTTCATCCTTAGTAGAAAATACACCAGCCGAGGAATTTTACAATTATAAGCTTGTAATAATACAGCAACAGTTCTAATAACTGAATATTGACAAAATTTACATAATTATGACTGAGATTACTTAAATAGTTAAATATCTATACTTTCTCAATGAATGACAAAGCTCTGTACAAGATCCATCAAACTGTAATTGTGATTACAAAGCATGATTACAAAGCATGATTACTGTTAACAAACATGAAAATCAGACTTAATACTTGTCACCTTGAGAGAGTCACAGATTCCCATGTATTTAGGAAATCTGGGGTACTTCCTTTGGAATTACCCTTGAAATGAGTCTCAATTTTTGTACAAATATATTCTGTAGAAAGAGTCATGCATTTGTTGCTTCTGGAAAAACTCAGCTATAGCATCTCTGAGAAATAAAGTAAGAATGGTATGCCATGGAAGCCAATTTGCATGAAGTATAAGTTGATCAGCCTGCTTAAAAGTGAACTAAGAAAACCAAGCAGGGTTTACAGAATTCCTGTTTTGGCAAGCCTAGTAGTTATTTTCTTCTTTTTTAAAATTTTTATTTTAAATTTTGAATTTTATGATACAATTCTGTAGAGTCGGAGATCTCCCCTGGTTCCCACCCCTGACTGATTTTTCCCCATGTTCAATTGTACAGTCCTTCAGACGGAGTTATAATTCCATCATTCTGTTATTTAAGTGTGCCCCGACACTGCTGGTACAGTGTCAGACAGTCCAGCATTCTATTGTCTAGATATGTCCAACAGTTTCATTCTTAGCAAGAGAATTGAAACCAAGACACTCCACTACGGGATGTGCACACCTCAACCAACACCAACCCATCCCCATACACAGTATTTTAATGGTTAGACAGTAAGTACATTTCAGATAGTATGTGAAAGCCATGACTTTTTAAAATTCAAAAAAGAAGTGTGCTTATGCATAAGTTCAGACAAAACGAAACAATTTTTAAGCAGATGCAACAGTGCTCTGAATCTTATTACCTTGAAACATCCATGTAGGAGAGATAATTTGGTACTGGGTAAACATCAAGCTGCACGAGTTCTAGAAGGAAAATAAAGACACAAAAACCTTACTATTCAAGTGACACAGAGACTCTTTGTATGTAGAATATGATTGTTGTGCTTTATTCTCCATTGTTTGTTTAGTTTAGGAAGTACAAAGCATTCATTCAACTTTGGAATTACAGGAAAGCCAAGATAACTTCTACTTTAATCACAAGATCTTATTCAGAGACAAGAATAAATCATTCATTCTACTTCTCGCCTCTTCTCCAGCCATTCAGGGTCCTTCTCATGTCAGGCATGCTAACTGTACCTGGAAGATCAGCTCAACACCACCTTAGTAACACTCAGTGTTTCTGCTACAAAGCCAAACACATCTACCTTCTGTCTTTAGCTCTGTACTGAACCAGTTCCCGAGAAGGTCACTAAAGAATTGTGTTCAAATCTCAACACTTCTTCAAAATTTTATGACATGCGGCCTCACTGTCCACCTGGGCTTTGTTTCTCAGAAACAATGGCTTCTAAATGTCCTTCTGCTTTGCTTTTCTCATTCAGTCAAGGCTTACTTCCTCTCTGCTTGCCTGCCCCGGCCCTCGGTAGACCCTCTGTGAGGCTTCTAAGTCCAGTTTTGGTTACAGCTTTCTTCTCTTTTAATTACCCTTCTCCTGCAGCATCAGGTAGTTTCTGTAAGTAGCTGAGTTTCAGTCAAAACATGCAGTCTCAGGGCAAATTTTGATTAGCTCACTTGATAAAGCCCATCACAATACCCCGGATAAGCCGAGCACTGGATTCCCATTCTTGTCCCAGAAATGCACCCAAACCACGTTCCCTTCATGCTCGCTATCCTATAGTATAACTTTCATCACACATCTCTACTTCTTAATCTTTCCTGATTTCTGCTGCTTACTATGTACCAAGGTAAGTGCTTCAACAATCGACTCCAAGGAATGCACCCCATAATGACTTCTATGCGTTCAGGACTTCGTATTTGCCTTCCAAGTGCTGATTAAATCATACAGAGATTCTCTCCTCCCACTCCGTTCCCCTGATGCCAAACCCTACAATTCTTGCTCACTCAGCACTGATTAGACCAGAAGCTATGCCACTTGGAGGCTGGCTCTGGCCTTCAGAGAGCAGTGCAGGGACAACAGGCATATCAAAACAAACTGCAACCCCCTTTCCGCACTTGTGGGCTACACTATGCATCAAACAAGAGCCTGGTAAACACAGCTTCAATGTGCAGTAGTGAATACTTGTTTTCATTTGTTTGCGATTGTATGGGACTGTCATCTTCCTTAGGAAGCTTATGTCCACAGAAACCATTCATTGTTGCACTTGTTATGATTTTTAAATTCTGAAGAACAAATTTTATTAAATAATTAAGATGTCTGCTTTACGTGTCTTTGTAGATACAAAAGTCAGGCTATCTTAAGGTGAATCCTTTGTGGGTGGAATATTGAACTGGAATCCACAGTGGGACTATCTTTCACTCCTGTACTCAATCAAACTTACCAAATTTCCTGTCTTAACAATGTAGCCCAAGAAACAGTTCATTTCTCCTCCACCCTTCAATTAACAAGGGAAAATCTAAATTGGGCGTGACTTAAAGACAAAATCTATTTTTTTTTTAAAAAGGTAGGAACTGCAAAATTTTCCTTTTTGGATTCTTTAAATACCATATCAGTATTTTTTGCATATGACTTCTAGCTTAGCAAAATTTAACACTAACTTTAGTGACAAATGAAGAGAGAAAAATCAGAAGGGCAGAGACTATGGTGCTGAGTAAGATCTTGGGACCAAAAGACGCTCCGATGGGGTCTCTTTACGTACCATTAGAAGAGGCATACAGTGCTTTCAGGAAATAGCCACAAACGTTTAATGTCGCCAACTGATTCCTTTCACAGTGCAAAACTTCAATGTTGTTGAAAATCATGGCATCTAGCTCACGCAGCTTATTGTCCCGGAGGTCAAGCTGAGTAATATGCTGGAGAAAGTCCACTCCATCTGCTATTATCTTCTGAATTGTGTTCAATCTTGAGAGTAAAGAAAACAAATGAAGACTGTAATTAACTGCAATGCCATCAAAAAATGTCCACACGTGACTATGGTGGGCACCCAGTAAGGACCCCCATCTCTGCTCGGTTCTCCAAGGTTAACCTCCAGCCTGGCCTCACTGGCCCGAGGGTAGCTACGTCAGCTCTAATTCCAAGGAGTCTCTACCCTCATCACACATTCTGAAAAACAGTTTTTTAGACCACTAGGGCTAGGAAATGAACAAACACTTTGATTTTACCTCAATTCATTTCAAAAGAGGGAAAAAAACCCCGCTAGGCATTCATTTCCAAAGAATTAGCCAAAGTACTGATAACATACAGGACAGAACAAAGAAAGCGAAATCCAGACTTACTAATTGCATTATAAATAACAAGACTGTTTAAGAAAGGCAAGAAGATGAGCAAGCAGGCAGATGAGCAATAATGTAATATAAAAGGAACAGGGAAGAAAAAACAAATTAAAATTGCATAACTAATGGGAGTGGCAGAGTGCAGGGATTCTCAACTACTACGGATCTGAATCAATTATCAAAGCTACCTCTACCTATTGGAAAGAGCAAAGTGTAGAAAATATTGAAACTTGGTATCTTGGGTTCACTGAGAAACGATAAAAAGGACAAGGATGGGGTCCACTCTTCTGCAGAAAGGCTGACCAAACTCCTGCCAAGTCGCTGGAAAGAGCTATTGGAACATAAGGAGGTAGTGACAGTGACTGGGAACCAATGTTAAGAAAAATACGTTTAGCATCAAAGAGGAGAAAATACATAAAAATCTCAGCTCCCAGTTAAGCTATGCCTAACTTCTCCAAAAACAAACAACGACAAATGTCTTCAAATACATCTCATAACAAAGTCAGTCAAGTGCCAAGATCAAGCTCCTGGTTGGAAAAACACTAATCTTAAGATTGGAGTTTAGAAAAAAGCCAAAGATTCTCTACAGTGAGTTTATACCCTTACAAAGAATTAAAATAAAACTATGGTAACTCAACTGATTAACAGCAATATTATAAAGCTACTGCCAACACGAGGATGAGCGACAGCAAAGAGTTGGGATTTGTCAACTTGTGAACACAGCATATGGCCTATTCAAATGTCTCCAGGCGGTGCTGCTAGCTCCTTCCCTTTTTTCTATTACAGGTTGTAAGATTTAGAAGCTGGCTTCAATCCAGCAACTTGCCAATTGCCAAATGCTCACTAGATTATTAGAGTCTGTACACAGAATAAAAAAGACAAACAACTATCACGTTGGATAAAACAGACTGTAGGAATTGAAAAAAATGTTCCATGTTGGGCCCAGCACAGTGGCCTAGCAGCTAAAAGTCCTCACCTTGCATGCGCTGGGATCCCATATGGGTACCAGTTCTAATCCCAGCAGCCCTGCTTCCCATCCAGCTTCCTGCCTGTGGCCTGGGAATGCAGTCAAGGATGGCCCAAAGCCTTGGGACCCTGCACCTGCGTGGGAGACCTGGAGGAAGTTTCTGGCTCCTGGCTTCAGATCAGTGCAGCACCAGCCATTGCGGTCACTTAGAGAGTGAATCATCAGACAGAAGATCTTCCTCTTTGTTTCTCCTTCTGTCTGTATATCTGACTTTGCAATAAAAATAATTCTTACAAAAAAATGTTCCATGTTTTATGAAAACTACCCTTAATACAACCTTCATAATGTCAGTATTGTCTTGATTTCAGACCAGCCACGAGAGTACAAATGTTACCACCACAGTAAGTGTTGGTTTAATGAGACAAAAGAAAAATCTATGATGAAAGGAAAATTAACATTCCCACTATTTAGCTTACATTGGCAACTCTTACTGTAATTCAACTACCAAAAGCTTTTAGTATCACATAGTAACACATTGATTTAGGATATACTTTTAAGAGGTAAAATATAACTAAAACTTCCTTTCAGTAATTCCCTGGGCTAATACTGCTTTTTTGTTTATTCCATAAATACTTCATGGTAATTCCCATGTGCAGAAGGGCAGTATAAAGGAGCACGATATTCTAGCCTCACTTGGCTGCTCCTTGTTCTGCATAGAGTTGCTAGTGAGTCTAATTCTAAGGTACAACATGAGGCTAATGCCTCCCTTGACATACGGAGTAGTTGAGCAGATGACATGCATAATACATGTGCTGATACTTGGTAGAGTGTGAGTGGTTGTGGTAAGTGTGATGATCTGTAGCTTTGGTGGCAATGACAGAAATAAAACAATTTTGCTAACAAGTTTCAAAGATGAGTGAATAGCCTCAAATGCTTAAAATGTAAGATATAAGGGCTACAAGCAATAGTGCAAGAAACGATATTTATAATACAGAGAAGGCAGCACAATGGGCTCGGCTGGAGGGAGGACTGCAGCTCGTGCCTGGGGCACAGCTTTCTCAGGAGTCCAGTGTCTGTAAGAACAGGGATAACCTGGTTAGAAAGCAGGCTAGTAAATAAATATTTATCAAACGCTGTGCTTTAAGTTTTAGTGACAGCAGTAGGAATGTTGTGCAAGGAAAAATCAGAGCAATGTGCAAATTATCTCTGGTAGAAGGCCCTTTTGTCCCTGTTAAGAAAAAGAGTCATTGGGCCCGGCTGCGTGGCCTAGCGGCTAAAATCCTCGCCTTGAGCGCACCGGGATCCCATGTGGGCGCCAGTTCTAGTCCCGGCAGCCCCACTTCCCATCCAGTTCCCTGCTTGTGGCCTGGGAAAGCAGTCGAGGATGGCCCAGAGCTTTGGGACCTTGCACCCGTGTGGGATACCCAGAGGAAGTTCCTGGCTCCTGGCTTCGGATCAGCATAGCATTGGCTGTTGCGCTCACTTGGGGAGTGAATTATCGGATGGAAGATCTTCTTCTCTGTCTCTCCTCCTCTTTGTATATCTGACTTTCCAATAAATAAATAATTTTTTTTTTAAAAAGAAAAAGATTTATTTATTTTGAAAGCCAAAGTTTTATAGAAAGGGAGAGAGGAAGGGATGGAGGACACACACTCACACACATGCAGACAGACACATTTTTCACTTAAGCTCTCAGAAGGTGGCAATGGCCAGCCCTGGGTCAGGCCAAAACCAAGAGCTATATCAGCAGTAGCCTGGACATGAACTATGGGATGTTTGCATCACAGGCTGTGGTGTTCACATACTGTGCCACAATACCAGCTCCTAATTCACTGCAGATTGCTGTGGTGTCCTATTGCACACAGTGAGCACCCACAGATTCCTTGTAAAATGAGCTGCATCTACTCATAACACACTTGGGTGTTGCAGCAACGTCAGACCACTACACATTTCTAAATTGCTTGTCTCAAGGAGCTGCAGCAATACCTGGCTTGGCAGCACAGGTTACACGACTACACTTGAGCAGCTCTGAGACACAGCCACATCCACGAGGGACTTGCTGGCTACTGGCTCAAACCACCAACTAGAGACCTGAAAGTGGAGCAGGATGTTCCTTCCTAAGAGGCTGCACAAGAGCACATGGCCTAGCCAGCAGACAAAAGGGAAGAACTAGTAAAAGAACTAGAGAGGAGAAGAGGAGGAAAGATTAATGCTATAAAAGAAATAACATTAGACTCAAGGAACATCCATGTGATGAAGAAAGACTAAAACAAAATGGTCTGTCTTAATATGATGCAACACTTCCACTGGAAAGAAGTTCTCACTTAGAAAAACTAAGCAAAACTCCCCTTAAATTATCCTACCAGCTATTCAGGCAGAATTATATGCCAATCTAACCAGATTTTTCCCTTCTGAACTCAAAAGCTTAAAGGAAATATTTGTGAGGTTATTACAAAGACATCGACCCCTGGCTAATGGGGGAATTGCTTGGGCAAATTAGTATTAAAGCCTAAAATCTGTATGTTGCATTAGAAGAACTCAAGCCTGAGAGAGGCTCTTGTGTTCCCTTCTGATAGATAAATTTAGAATATCTTCTTCATGAACTGGGTCTTCACACCTAAGCAACCAAAAACCAGGCCTTACTTGCCAAGGGATGCTCATGGGCATCCACCATGCAGTAAGGGGTGGGCTAGCCAACGCCAGGAAGGGCTCAGTGTGACAGATTCAAGATGCAGATCTGCTCTTAATAACCTCTGTCTAACACAGTTATAGGTAAAGAACGGAAAAAACTAGGGGCATAGCCACTGAACGGAGAAATGGGAAATTAAATAAGTTACATTAATTTCCTTAATGGAAATGCTACATATCAAGGAAGCCAAATAAGGGAAAAACAACTGAGGAAGAGGAAATCCTCAATGATGTCAAATGCCTCAGATAAGCAAACAAAAGGAAGAACTAACCATGAGAAAAAAAATAGCCACTTTGCTTCCAATGACGTGTTTTCACTCACTGTAAATAGCTCTGTGACTCAATGGTTCTGTCTATTCGTACAAATTAAACCTGGATTCAGATTTGCAAGATAAAGTTAAGACCTTTAGAGATACAGTCATTTACGAATGAGAATTTTTTAAACACAAGTTGTAGCTATGTGCAAATGCTACCATCAACCATTATTCTTTTGGGCAGAAAATAGAAAAATGGGCCCTAATTCAACTAATTAGGCAGTTAATCATGGCTTATCTCACCAAAAATCTACTATCTACTACCTACAGAAAATCACTCAAAATGGTTACCTGAGATCCACATGCTTAATGTGAGGCATTCTTCTTAAAGCCTGTAGCCTCAGGGTCTCCAGACAGTTTCCAGACATACACAGTTTATCCACAGCAGCCAGCTTCTCCAATACCTCTGGAATGTCAGTAAACTCATTGAAGGAGAGACCAAGATAACTAAGCTGGTGCATGTTTTCCAATTCAGCAGGAAGGGACTGGAGAAAGTTTCCATCCAATAAAAATGTCTGCAAGCTACAAAAGAAAACATAAGAATTACAAAGCCAATGTGCAAACTTGACATTTTTATCAACAGACAAGCTCTATACCTACAGATTATATCAGAAAATACATCACTCTTCACCAAACACAAAATGGTATGACTGGAGACCAGAGTGAACCAGAGAGAAAAGTTCAGACATATGCATCTTCATCTTTCATTAAAAACAGAAATTATAACCAATGAGGCCAGGGTTATGGCTGTGGTCCAACAGATATAGTCACTGCCTAAAAGGACAGCATCCCATTGGGCCTGGGTTCCTGTCCTATATCTGTCCCACTTCTAATCTAGCTCCCTGCTAATGGTCTGGGAAAGCAGAAGATGGTACAGCTATTTGGAAGATCTCCACATGGGAGATCTGGATGAATCCCTTAGCTTCTGACTTTGGCTCAGGGATGGCCATTGTAGCCACCTAGGGAGTGAAGCCGGGGATGGAAAATTTCTTAGTCTCTCCAGCTATCTGTGTGACTCTGACTTTCAAAACTTATTACTATGTTATAAATAAATCTTTAAAAAAAATTATGATCAACTCTTCCAACATGCACAAGCACAAATGGGAAATGCATTGTGAACCATCCCAAATACTCATCTTCCATTGTTATTCCTTTTCCATGTCTCAGAATTCAATATAACTCAGAAAACGAGAAAGAAATCCTTGTTAGACTTGCCCATCTGTAGAAATTTCTAGCTCTAAACAAACATATTCCATAAATTCCAACAAAGGAATGTGTTGCTTCAAATCCTGATCTGGGACCAAGTTAACTAATCTCATGTGCTACAACTTGATGCAGTTTCCTGGAGTTTCCCAGATTCCCTGCAGTGGGGTTTAAAGTACTGACTTGTGGGCCCGGCGTGGTGGCGCAAGTGGTTAAAGGTCCTCGCCTTGCATGCCCGGGATCCCATATGAGCACCGGTTCTAATCCCGGCAGCCCTGCTTCCCTTCCAGCTCCCTGCTTGTGGCCTGGGAAAGCAGTCGAGGACGGCCCAAAGCTTTGGGACCCTGCACCCGCGTGGGAGACCCGGAAGAGGCTCCTGGCTTCGGATCGGCATAGTATCGGCCGTTGCGCTCACTTGGGGAGTGAATCATCGGACGGAAGATCTTCCTCTCTGTCTCTCCTCTCTGTATATCCGCCTTTCCAATGAAAAAATAATAAAAATAAATCTTTAAAAAAAAAAAGTACTGACTTGTGCATAGCTCCGACGGCTGCTGGGACTGCTCGCAGGGCATTGCAGGACACATTCAGCTCGGCCAAGCTTGGAATACTGCAGACTGCTAATGGGAAGTCTCCTAAATGATTATTGGAAAGGTTAAGACTCTTCAACTTGGTGAACCTATTTAATAAAAGAAAACAAAAGAATAAGCAAATGTTACAGAAGCATTTGATCAAATAATTATGAAATAGCCTTAAGAAACAATTTAGTCTGACCTCCAGATACTACAGAAGGAGAAGGGGATCCTTCAGAGTTTAAGGGGTCAGAAGAGCTATAGTCCAGTGTTGTATCTAACAGGTGAAGTTTATATTAAAAAGAAACAGATTGTTCACTCTAACACAAGGCTGAGTATTTGAAGAGGTAACTTGTGCTACAATCAGATTTCAGCTGTGCCTGGGTTAGCGTAACACACACATGTAAATGGTATCAGTGGAGGACAGAGAGCAGCTGGAACAGGACACCAAATTCTGAACTGTTACACCAGAAAAATGAAGAGCTCTCGATTTCTCTCAAACCTAGAAGGGATGAAGTTAATTTACCAAATTTCCAAAACAACACACTGTCTAAGATAACCAGGACGTAAGGACCAATCATCATCCTTCAATCTGATATTGGTGGCCATGCACTTTTCCTCACTTTACCACGACTTTCCTCACCTGGTACGGTCTATTCTCAGATCTCTCTTCCCCTCTTTTCATACATCGCTTTCTTTTATTTCATTCCTTATTTCCAACCCCAAAATGAAGCACTTCTGACAGATACTTTATCGATTGCACCATCATCCTTGGTAATCTTATCTAGCTTTGAGTCCTATCACATGCCTCCTTCTTGTCCTGAGCTATCTCACATTTCTAACCCAAAATAAACCTATTGTCTTTACCCCCAAACCAGCAGTTCATCTGACTCTATTTTCTTACATTTGTTTTCATTTTCTTAATTACTCAAGCAACTAAAGCAATTAAATGAGCTCTTTAATTTTTATTGCTTTGCCCAACTTCACACTATTTCTATGAGATGAAAATCACAGCAATTATTGTATTATGCTTTTTCTCAAGGTTTATTTATTTTTACTTGAAAGGCAGAATTTACAGAGAAGAGACAGAGAGAAAGATCTTCCATCTGTTCATTCACTTTCTGAATGACTGCAACAGCTGGAGCTGAGTGGATCCAAATACAGGAGCTAGACTGGATCTCCCATGTGGATATGAGGGCTCAAGGAATTGAGCTTTCCTCTGCTGTTTTCCCAGGCCATAAGTAGGGAGAGGGATCAGAAGGGGCGCATCTGGGACATGAACCCATGCCCACACAGGAAACCAGTGCAGCAGATGAAGAATTAGCCTGCTACACCACTGTGCCATCCCCGTTATGCTGTTTTTTAAAAACTGCTGAAGTGTGGTCTCTTCCTAAGACTGATAACATATTCTAAAAATATATTTGACTCATTCCAATCAGCAGGTTAAAAACATCATGTGACTTACTTGATAAGTTCTGCAATAAAAGGTGCTAAGCTTTACACTAGACTCGGCTAGGCTCAGCTGGTGCTTACGAGACAGAATGGGTGTGGGACAGGTTGCACTAGGCTGTAACATCTACCATGTCATCATATGAGTGTTTGGTTGGGGAGTAGGCCAGACTGGGTTAGATTGTAGCACCAACTAGTGAGAGCTGAAATTGGTGCAGGGTATTCAGGCTAGCCACAGTACCTGCTGGGGAATGCCAGCACAGCAGACCCATCATGTCGGGCTGGGACACAGCACCTGCTGGCACTTGAGAGATCGGGGTTGTGGTCAGGCTTGGTATGAGGTCTTGAAGAACATCCCCACTCGGATGCAGCTCCTGATGGTGAGCATGAGAGCCAGGACTGGGGGCAGGTCAGGTCAGGCTGCAGCACCTGTCAGCACATATATGGTTTGGGTCTGGAGGTGAGCCAGGTTAGGCCAGTCTATAGCACACACTGGCATGAGTGAAAGCCAGGATGGGATGCAGGCCTGGTTGGACCACAACACCCTCCAGTTCACATGAGTGCAAGGGCTGGGAGTGGGCCGGGCTAAGCCAGGCTGTAGCAATTGCTGCTGAATGCTGAGACTGCGGGTGGGCTATCTCAGACTGGGCTGCAGTACCCACTGGCATGTGCAAGATCCAGCATTGGGAGTGGGCCTAGGATCTCTGGGACTCCCCTGCTGGGCCACTGTTTCCACTGGTGAGCATCAGAGCTGGGGCTTGGGTGGACTGATCTGGGCAGGGCTACAGCACCCATTAACTGGCATTTGGACTGGGCCTTGGGGCAGGCCTAGGTTGTTGCAGGCAAAATGGGTGTGGGTCAGCTGGCTAGGCAGCTGCACCCACTGGCCAAGTACCAGGACTGGGTGTGAGTTTCACTAGGCTGGTCAAAATCTGGGGATGGAAGCAGGCCTGGTAGGGTAACTGTGGACAGTCCTCTCAAAGGCTGCAGTTCCTGCTGGTGAGCATGAGAGCTGGGGATGGAGGCAAGCTGGGCTGATCAAGGTGGCAGCACCTGCTGGCACATGTGTGGGCTAGGTCTGGGGGTTGGTAAGACTGAACTAAGGTGCAGCACCCATAGGTGTGCACGAGAGTTAGATGGGATGCAGATTGGGCTAGGTTGCAGCACATGCTGGCACATGCAAAAAACCTGAACTGGGGATGGGCCTGGTGGGAGTCATCTATCTAGGCTATGGAACCTACTGGTATGTGTGAAAAACTGGCCTGTGGTAGACTGGGCTGGGTCAGGTTGTAGCACTTATCAGTTCACATGAGGGATGGTGCTGGGGGTAAACTTAACCAGGCAGCTGCATCCACCTGTATGTGCATAGGCTGGTACAGGTAACAGACTGGACCTGACCCTACCCTGGCTAGCACACACGAGTCAATTTGGAGGTCACCCCAAGAGAAGTTTCATAAGAAACTCCCCAACTAGATCAGTGGACTCAATCCTGGGCCACAGGGAAAATCACAATATATATCCGACCTTGGAGTGCATGTGTTGGGACTGGGGCTCCTCAGTAGCTGATGTTTGCGCAGTGGACAAACATGTCCAGATGCACACAGAGGACATGACAGCCAGAGGATGGAAAGCAGAACAGGATGGACCACTTTCCTGTCCAAGCTTTGTAACGTGTTCCTGGACTTGTGGATTCACTAAGGTGGACTTGGTTAGCCAATAGACCTTGGAAAGACGTTCTCAACCCTGGAACAATGAAACCGACGGTGTCCTAGAATTATCAAAATCACTCAAGTAACATCCTCAGAATGACTTCCCTACTCGGGTCTCTAAGGTGTCAGCAAATGACTGTTCCCTCATGCCTGGGTGCTGCTGTAGTTTGACAGCAAGGAGTGGGCCCTCTCCCCTAATCCTCCTGTGGACATAGGGGAAAAATATAATTGAAAAATTTGCCCCACCCTAATTAGAGGCCCACACATGGGTGTGCATCCCTTTCAACTAGGTAAAAAATTTAAAAATATTTTAAAGATTAAATTATGTGTTTCATAATAAAAACATTCTAAAAGAAAAAATTTTATCCTGAACAGAAAGCTGACGACACACCTATCTGAAAGACTAAGAGTCTAAACTTTGATTTTTTTGTAACAGCTGTCTTCTTGGATGGCTGAGTGCAGACCCAACAGTACTACAAATTAACAATAATAAATGCAATGAAAAACACTGCTAAATATGAATAATAATTTTAAGTGGTCTGTTTTATATTTCACTTGGATTCATTAGACCTTATTAAGAGAAACAATATTTATCCTCTGTTCTAATTATCTACAACCTAAAGCACAAGCTAGAATTTCATGGTCTGGTGCGTTTCAAACATATGAAATAGGCAATTATATTCCCATGTTTATAACAGCTCAATACACAATAGCTATGATATGGAGCCATCCCATATGTACACCAACTCATGACTAGATAAAGAAAATGTGGTATATACACACTACAGAATACTACTCAGACATTAAAAAAAATGCAATCCGGTCTTTAACAACAAAATAGATACATTTTGTTGGAAATGGAAACATTATGCTTGGTGAAATAAACTAATCCCCAAAAGAAAAACATTCTGTTTTCTCTTGCATGTAGTAGGTTAATATAGAATACCAAAATATATAAAAACACAATGGACACTTGGTGATTTGTTTCTTTCTCTCTCTCTCTTTTTTTTTTTTTTTTTTTTTTTGCCCATGTCCATGCTTTTTTGGAAGTGTGTTCTTTATATTTTTTTTTTTTTACTGAATACCATGGTTAGTGGTGCACTAATCATGTGATTATAGAATGAATTGACACTATTTTTTCAAATGTTAAAGAAAACAGGGAAGGAAGGGGATTGAGGGAGGCAGAGAAAGAAGGAGGGAAATAGTATAATAATCTTCTTAAAACCGCATCTATGAAATACATAAAAGCTATTCTCTTTATATTAATAAAAATTTTAAAATAAGTGTTCTTTCCATATGAGGAGTGAGTAGAACTTTGGAATTCCCTATATGAATAACATCAACCTTTTCAGAACTTACATGAGCCTTTTCCCTGGCTGCAACCTCTCTCATGTGTGTGACCTATGGGCTCTAAGGCAGGAAGGATTTGGGCTGTGTGAGCTGCAATGTCCATTTTCCAGTAAGGTGAGGAATGGAACTGGAATGGGAAAAGAGAACTACGTCACTGGCTCATGTCTTCCCAGCCTGCCATACTTAATATGAAGCCCTAAGGGGTTGGAGGGTCTAAACCTGAATCAGTACAAGTAGAGGTAATGAATGCACTGAAGAGCTTGAGAACCAATTATCATCACTTAAACATCTGAATATACAGAGGTGAGTCTTCAAATAGAGTCTCACCCTACACCTGTAAATCTCATGAGCTCATTTACAAGTATCATTGACTTCTCACTGCTCACCACTTTCCCTGCTCCCTTGCGTTCTTCCCTAATCGACCAATACTCCAAACCCCCCTGAGAGAGCAGAATGCTCACCCAACTTGTTCTTCAGACAAAAGCATGAATTGTTTCTGAGAATCCACATTAAAAACAAACAAACAAACAAACAAAAAACTTTTGGTTTTCTAAGAAAGAAAAAGAGCACAAGAGAGCCCTCGTTTGCTATTTCACTCT